CCGGGCGGGCCAGGGGGCTCCCGGCTGCCCACCGCCCCGGCTGCTGCTGCGCGCCGCCTCCACGCGCGCCCGCCCTGCTCCGCCGCCCTCCCTCCGGCTCCTCTTTCTCTCTCCCCCTCTCTCTCCCTCCTGCTCTCTCTCGCGCTCGCTCGCTCTCTCGCTCGCGCTCTCTCCCTCCCTGGAAGAAGGGAATGAGGCAGGGCTGACGTGAAGGGATGCAAAACAGCTCCTCCTAACCCAGCTCGCAGAGGAAGAGAGACAGAAAAGCAGCCCTTTTATCTCTCTTTTGTTTTCTCACTTCCTTCCACCACCCCCCTCGGCACCCCCCTCTTGTCGGCCCAAGTTTTCTTTTTCTCTTTCTACCGCAGAGAGGATTTTTCTTCCTTTCTTTCTCTTTCTCTCAGCTCAACTCTCCTACTCGAATTGCAAGCCTGGAGGCTTCTCTCTCTTTTTTCCCCCCTTTCCTCTTTTCTTCCTCCTTCCTCCTTATTTCACTAAAAGGGTTTTGTTTGCTGTGGGAGTTTCGTTTGAAAATCAAGTCACGCCTTTTCCCCTTCTTTTCTTTCTCCCTCTCCCTCGTTTTTTTCCTCCTCTCAGCAGAAAAGGGGAACAAAGATTAACAGGCTGGGGGAGAAGGGAGCGTCAGAATCTCTCATGAAAATGGGGCCCCTTCCCTGCCAGGCACAAAGGGGACCTGGGAGCCCAGCCCCCCGGGAAGCCTGGGGTGTCTTCCCCAAGAACAGCCACTAGGGTGGGGGTCTCGGGGAGCCTCTGGGTACCTGGTCTATCCAAAGTGCGGGTGGGGGGCTGTGAGTCCACCCCTCCCCAGCCAGGGGTGAAAGCTGGGGTGCTCTTAATATGTTTTAAGTAGGCAGATGGGTTTGGAGCAGACGTCCCCGCAGAGCCCTTCACAGTAAAGAGCCTTTAAACAGCTGTTCGCAGAGCCTGGACGGTCAGACTCGAGGGAGCGGCTCCTACTGCAAGAGCCCGGCCGGACTAAGCAGCCGCAGGCATCGGCCCCTCTCGGGCTCCCCAAGCCCAGGGCCCGAGGTTCGCCCCCGGGGAGCATGTATGGGGGCGCCGAGGTGTGGCCGTTCGCAGAGAGGCGATCTGGGCCCTGGTGGCTCCCCGCACGGCTGTGGGGTTCGGCAGAGCCTGGCCTCCTCCCAGCTCCGGGACAGGCCGGACACCCCGCCTCCAACCTCCCGGCCACTCTGAGCAGAGCCGAGGCTGGGCGGGTACCGAGCCGGCGGACAGAGCCGGCCAGTGTCGCCACCAAGGGTCAATTATTCATGGGACGCCTGGGCGTGCTCCCAAGACCTGCTCTGTCCTCGGCTTCTCCGGAGGAGTGGAGACAACACGGGGGAAAAGTTCCCAGAGCAAAGTTGGCCACATTTCTTATTTTTCCCAAGTTAAGTATTGAGCACCTGCTGGATGCCTGGGCCTTGGACTGGGGCTGCAGCTGGGGGAGAAACGTGAGGTCTCGTCGGGCTCAGACAATGCGAGGGAAGCTGAGGCTCAGGACCAGGTCACCGAGTAGAAGGAAAGCCTGGATCCTCTCCCCTCCCAGCGCTGTTCCTTCCCGTTCCCTCCTTCCTCCCGGCTGCATCTCCTTGGCTCCACCCCTTCTCATCAATTCCTCCCACACTTCCCTGCTCTCCCTGGCTTTTCACTGGAGGGTCCCTTCTCCCAGCGAGGAGCAGATGCTGAGCCTCATTGTCTCTCCCCCATTGACTGCAGCCTCCCGGGGACAGGACCAGCCACTCCTTCCCCTCCCCCCAGTCCTGAGACCTGGGCCTTTTCTGACGGGAGCCCCAAGGCCACTGCCCCTCGCCCCACCCTACACCAGCTCGCTGAGCTGTGAGCAATGACTCCAGTCACTCAGAACATGATTTATTTCTGACTAGGAATGAGAAAACAGAAGCCAGTGAGAGTTTGGTTCGGCAAGAAGGACCTGGTAGTTTCAGCCTCAGCACCTCAGCACACTGAGCCTCTAGTGACCCCAAGGCCTTCCCTGTACACCCTCTTCCCAGGGAATGAAAGAAGCCACTGTCCCCTCATTACCTGCCCCTGTTTTTCAATACGCCCAAGCATATCCCCTAAACAAAACAGAATGCAGCTCTGATAATCAAGCATTCACTCAACAAATGCTTTTCTGTGTACCTACTCTGTGCTGGGAGCTAAAGCCCTAATCATTAGCAAGACCAGCTTCTTGGTCTGGCTCTGCTGACTGATAGGTAAAGCAGAAGACCAACACACTGGGCCACAGAATCAGGCATCATGGTCCACATCTGTAATCCCAGCACTCAAGAGGCTGAAGCAGGAGGATTGCCACAAGTTCCTGGACTTGCCAGGGCTACATAGCAAGACTTTATCTCACAGAAACTAAAAAGAGGGAGGCATAGTGGTACATGCCTGGAATCCCAGAACTTGGGAGGTAGAGATAAGAGGATCAAAAGTTCAAGACCAGCCTTGGCAACATAGGCAGTTCAAGGCTAGGCTATTTGAGACCCTGTCTCAAAAAAGAAAAAAAAAAAAAAAAAGGAAAAAAAAGAAAAAACAGGCTGACCAAAACCAACTTGGGAAGGAAACAGGCAGTTAAGAGTACTGGATACCTCATGTGAGAATCAAGAGAATCAACTAAGGAAGCACCTCAGAGAGAGCTTGGACAGAGATTGTTGGGGAAGGCTTCCTGGAGGAAATTACATCTAGATAAGTAAGCTGGTGTCAGTCAAAAGCATGGGAGGGAACAGCCTGTCTCAGCAGCAAAAGATAAGACAGTTCTATGAACTGTCAAGAGTTCAAATACTTAAAACCATCTTTGATCCCAGCCACTTGGGAAGCAGAGGCAGGCAGATCTCTGGGAGATCGTGGCCAGCCTGGTCTACATAGGGAGTTCCAGGCCAGCTGGGGCTACAGGAAGACCCTGTGTCAAAAACAGCAACAACAAAAAGAGTTAAGTATTTGCAGCAGTTCAGCAGCATAGAACAAATTGGAGAGTGAGGATGGTGTGGGAACAAGTGGAAGGCAGGGTGGGTGCCAGGGAGATGTTCATTTTTTATCCAGTCACTTGCCAGCATCATGAACTTGAATGAGTAACTTAAGCTCAGTGAATAACTTAGACTTGGTTTCCCCACTTATAAAAATGGAGGTAATCAGGGGGCTGGAGAGATAGTCCAGCAGTTAAGAGCACTGACTGCTCTTGCAGAGGACCGGGGTTCAATTCCCAGCACCCAAATGGCCACTTACAACCATCTGCAACTTTAGTTCCTGGGGAACCCAGCACCTTCTCCTGACCTCCAAGGGCATTGCACAACATGGGTGCACTTACATATATGCAAGCAATATACTCATATACACAAAATAAAAATAATAAAATACTAAAAAAATAGAGGTAATCAAAGCCTGGTGTGATGGTGCATATGCCTTTAATTCCAGCACTCAGGAGGCAGAAGCCACACTGGTCTATATATTCAATGCCTGATTCAAAAAAAGAGGAGGTGGGGATAATCAAAATAAATAAATAAAAGAGCTAGGTAGGGTGATACAGACCTGTAATTCTAGCTACTTTTTATTTATTTTTGTTTGAGACAGGGTCTCCCTATAGTGACAGCTGGCCTGAAGTCACTATGTAGAGTTCCATGTATAGACCAGGCTGGCCTCATCTCACAGAGATCTGCTTGCTTCTGCATCTTGAGTGCTGGCATGCTCCACCACACCTGGCTCTAGCTACTTCTGAGATTGAGGCAAGAGGATAAAAAGTTCAAGGTCAGGTCAGGCTGGGAGTAGTGGCACATGCGGTTAGTCCCAGCACTTAGGAGACAGGCAGACGGATCTCTTGAGTTTAAGGCCAGCCTGGTCTACATAGTGAGTGCCAGGCTAGCTGGGGCTACAGGGAGACCCTGTCTCAAAAAGACTTAAAAAAAAAAATGTTCAAGGGCAGCTTGGGCAACCAGTTGAGATCATATCTCAAAAAGCAAGAAAGAGGCTTGGGGCTAGGGCTGGGGCTATAGGGAGATCCTATCTCAAAAAGACCAAAAAAAGAAAAAAAGGAAGAAAGAGGGCTGGGGATAGTTCAGTGGTAGAGCACTTGCATGTTGTGAGTCTCCATGTTCAATGCCAAACACTACCAAAGTTCAAGTCCTGCTTGGGCTGTATAGCAAGACCCTGTCTCAAAATATTGAAGAGAGGAACAAAGGGGGAAAGAAAGCAAGAGGTAGACTTATGTGTTACTGTCCTGAATGGGAGCAGTTACTTGATAGTAACTGTCCTGAATGTGTCTCAAGCCACTGGCTTGAGTGTGACATCCAAAATGTGTCACTGCTTCTCGGGAGAGCTTAGGACAGGCGCAACGGACAGAAGAGATTCTCACACACGATTGTTTGATTGCATTATGCGTTTACTAGGTCAAAGCATAACAAACACACATCAATACAAACACTCAAAGGGAAACCCGGTCCTCTAGCAGTTAAGAGTCCCAAAGTCTCTTGGAGTACCTTCCAGAGGTTAAGCCTTCAGGCACTCCATGTGGAGAGGTTCTCTAGTCCGCCGTGATCGGTGCACTCTCCCGGCTGAGGAGCTGTCTCTTGCAGGTTCTGATCACTTCTGGTCGTGGCAGGCTCCTGTCAGTCTCTGGCTCTCAGGCAGAGGTCCTCGATCAGGTCTCAGGCGAGGCTCCGGTCTGGTCTCGGGCAGAGCTTCAGGTAGCGGTCTCAGGATTTGGGCAATGTGCCGGGATGAGGCCCACGGATTCAGAGTCTCGTGTGGCCAAGCATCAAAAGAATCTTTTTAGCTACCAGCTTTTATACCTTTCTTTTTTGGCTGGGGTCCTTCTGACTTACGTCAGTAACTTCAGTGGTTTCTTGAGATATGGCTCACACCCTATGGTCACTTATCACCAGCACACAGACACTCAACTCACATAGGTTCTGTTTGGTTGCTGAGTTACGACTTAGCTTCTTATCTACTTATCTATTTCACACAGTGTCACAGCAATGTTCAGTTTGGCTTCAGAGTTTACAGAGTTAATATTCATCTTTAATTTCTGATTTCTAAATTCCTAATAAATTCCTAATACATTCAGTACAGTTACAAAGTGTCTTGTGTTTACATGTCTGAACTTACTTGCCTTGTAGCCAGTTTCAATACTCTTATCTGTAAAGTAGGGGTGAAAATTTACCTGTTTCCCAGATCGTGGTGAGGTTTCGTGGAGCCCACATCTTTTGTGCTGTTTGGCACATAACTACCAACAATACATAGTAGCTTTTATTCACTATTACTATAAATGAGGGAGTGGTAGGGAGCTACACTTATAACCTAGAAACGAGAGACTGGGTTGAAACCAGAATGACTCACAGGCTACAAAAGCAAAGAGCCAGTTGTGGAGGAAACATTCCTTCAAAGTTGCCTTGTGTCCCAGTGGGTGGCCAGAATGAGGAACACCCACATCTGATCAAGAGGGCCAGAGTATCATCTCAGGAGGGTAACTAGAGTTGTGACAAAGGCCCAGCCTGATCATGGGAGTTCTAGCCTGCCAGAGGAACAAATAGGAATCAGAGGGTGGGCCTTGTGAAATCCGGACAGACTTCTAAGAGCAGGGAAAGAGAAAGAACCCAGTTCATATGGAGTAGGAGGGGATTCTTGGGTTCTCCAGAGCGTAGTTAAACCTCTCCATGCCTTCTAATCTTTTACAGGCATCCTGAGTCTCCAGACACACTGAAGATGGGTATTGCATCAACAAAATGTCCCATGGATCCAAGCGGACACCAATGTTACATTTCCTTTATTATAAACATTTTGAACTTCTATTATTTTATTGTACTTTATTTTATTGCAGTATTGGGGATGGAACTTAGGGCCTCCAGCATGTCAGGTAAATAAATCTCTACCACTGAGCTGCGTCTCCAGCTCTACTTTCTGTTTCTGTCTGTGTCTATTGTCTATGTCTCTCTGTGTCTCTGTGTCTCTCTCCTCTCCTCCTCCTCTCTCTGTCTCTGTCTCTGTCTGTGTGTGTGTGTGTGTGTGTCTGTCTGTCTGTCTGTCTGTCTGTCTCCAGGGAACCAAGGAGCCCAAGCTGGTCTCAAACTTGTTATGTATCAAGGATGACCTTGAATTCCTAATCTTCCTGCTTCTATCTCCCAAGTGCTGGGATTACAGGCATACACCATCCATCCCACACCCAACACCCAGCTTCTTGCTTCTTACTTCTTACTTTGTAGCACAAGTATGTTGTAAAAGAAAAGTTGAAAATCAACTAAGCAAAACTGAAAACCCAACAAGAGACATTATATTTTAGTGTATAACCTTGGGCATTTCATGCCTCTATATCTACATGTAAATGTTCATAATAAAATTGTACAAAGTAAATAATATTGCATAAATGACTATATATGTAAATGTTAGCCAGGTGTGGTGGCTCATGCCTGTAGTCCCAGGACTCAGGAAGTTGAGGCAAGAAGATTACTACATGCCCATGGGGGCTACCCTGAGCCACAAATTGAAACCTTGTCTCAAAAACAATAAGATGGATGATGGAGCGATGGCTCAGTAGTTAAGAGTGCATACTGAGCCGTA